CAGAGGTTTTAAGACCAGTATTTCTTGTTTAAACATGCTACCCGCTCAGCACAGGCGCTTGTGTGAACAGGCATAGATTAATGTGTGCTAAGCAGAGCCATTTTACCTCCAAACTTATAGAGCTATAATTTAACAGGCCTATTATTGTCAAGGTAATTTTGACAGTGCTGTATTATACTTGTGAAAATATGCATTTAGCACTAACTCCAGTGGTCACTGGAACTGAATAAACAGACAGGTATCCTGCAATTACATTTCTTCTCTATTGAGGACCTTCTTCTTTTGCTTTTCTGGTAAAGGCAAGGCGTGTTGACAATTGCTTTTATAAATGCTCGGGCAGGGCAACCTTTCTGATGGTGCAAAACGCACGCTGTGTAGCTCTCCACTCTCTCTTCACCTCTGCTTGCGTTGTTCGGCAATTTACCCTGGATTCCGAGGACTCCCTCCCTGGACAGGAGAAGGAGAACAACCGTGCAAACCGCGGGCAGCCCTCCTCCAGCCCCTGACAGGCATAGCCTGAATTAGAACAGTTGGTATTTGTGAAGTCATCGACAAGCCCAATTTCTCACTCATTCAAGCTGTGAATCTTAATCACTGTGCAATCTCTAGATGTTTTATTAGGATGGATAAGAAAGTGCCAATCTTAAAATCTATGTCTATTGGTGATGTTCTCAGTGGTCGCTTCCACCAAAAGTGTGTGTTATTTAATATATATTTTAAATCAATAGAAGTCAGTGTGCTTCTTTTCCCCCTTTCCCAGTATTTTATTTTTCATATGCTTAATTTTAAAATGGTGACATTAAAAATCGATACTCCTTTTTACATTGTGGAATGCACACACCGTCACACACATTACACTGCAGAAAAAATCTGACATGTGACTGAACACACTGGCCATTACCCAAGACTAACACTGTCCCTCCCAGGGAAGAGAAGCAAACATGTCAACCTGCACCGGTTGCTCCACTTCTCCAGGCAAACTGACAAATTAAAGCTAAAAAAATATTTCTATGGAATCTGAAGTTAATGCAGTCAGTCACTTGCAATGTGAACAAACTGGACAACAGAAGACGGGGCCACTAGCCTGCCACTCTTCTGGTCTCTACAAGCAGAAGGAGAAGCCAGGTGCCTAAATGTCTTTGTAGATTCAGAGGATGTGGAAATTAAACTCAAGACATAGCGATCATCTTTCTCCCTGAAGGAAAGCTGCAGTCAGTCAAAACCAACCCTTTAGGAATAATATACATCCGGCCTAGGGACAGTCCCTGCCTACTCCAGAGTCTAGTCCAGGATGGGGACAATCCATACCTACTCCAGAGTCTAGTCCAGGATGGGGACAGTCCCTGCCTACTCCAGAGTCTAGTCCAGGATGGGGACAGTCCCTGCTTACTCCAGAGTCTAGTCCAGGATGGGGACAATCCATGCCTACTCCAGAGTCTAGTCCAGAATGGGGACAATCCATGCCTACTCCAGAGTCTAGTCCAGGATGGGGACAATCCATGCCTACTCCAGAGTCTAGTCCAGAATGGGGACAATCCCTCTCTATTCCAGAATCTAGTCCAGACAGGGGACAGTCTCTGCGTACTCCAGAGTCTAGTCCAGACAGGGGGACAGTCCCTGTCTACTCCAGAGTCTAGTTCAGAAAGTGCTGAGTGGGGATAAAATGTCCACTCTGAAATATCCTCAACCTGCAGGGAAAGATTTATATAAAGCAGCTCGATGTTTCAGGCATGGAAACAGAGTGGGGGCAGAGAGCCTTCGAGTTTAATGAGATATAAAGACACAGACTAGAAAAAGAGAATTCTCCAAGGAAGCTTTAACAGCAAAGGCGGGTTTTGCCCTGCAAACCCTCTGGAGCTCGGTCCCTGCAATTCTGCAGCTCATGCTGCCCTCTTGTGCCCAATGTCCAGAGTCACCAGGCTCCCTGCAAGGAGAATTCCCATGGCTTCGTTTGTTAACGCTCTCGACCCGGAATTTGTGTGACCCTGATTATTAAGATCTTCTTGAACAAAAGTGCTAAGATAGGAGAGAAATTTTGATGAGGGAGAAGGAGACGGAAAGCAAATTGGAAAGTGACTATAAACACCATTCAGCTCGCCTTCCAATTCAGATGAGAGAAAGAGGGGGAGCGCAGCCGAGATCTGAGGTTCTGTCACAGACACACAAGCCATCACCAAACCCCCTGAAGGAGAAGAGGGCAGAAAACAAAGAGGGTTGAGAAGACTGAGGGAAACTAAAGAGGAAGAAGGGAAGTTGGCTCTCGGCCATCTAAGGTCATAGATTCTGTCTTGCTTCAAAATTGATCCTAATTATGAGCTTAAGATTTATCAGATTATGAGTAAACACTCAGGGGCCATTTTATATAATCTCATCGTGACTAACTTCGCATACTCATACATGGATTCTACAGAGAGAATAACTTCACATCTTAGGCACTCAGGTGTGAGCTTGGCCATCAGCCATGCGGGATGGTGAAGTTAGTCTTGACCATAGTTTCATGGAGAAGAAACCTATCCCTTCAGGTCTGGCCCACTCTCTCCTTCCAATGCCAGTCTGACACTTGGGATGAAGGCTCTGAGGCCAGTGTTGCGGACTCCATGGATGGCCTGGGTCTCTGGACAAGTACAGAGGTTACCCAGAAATCAGCACCAGAGAGAGGCCAAGAGCTAACACTCCCGGGAGAGCAAGGCAAACCCATGACAGAAGGAACAAGATACTTTTGACCTCCAGAATATCCTCTCTGGGATTCTGACACAAGGGGCAGCCAGAGCCAGAGAAGGGATGGAAGGTTCAGCTCTCAGGGACAAGCTAGATTTGAGACACAGCAGACAGTGGTGACGGGATTCTGCAGGCTCCACCTGAAGTTTCTGTACCAATGGACTCCCGTGTCTAACTTATTGGATACTATATGCTGGCAAAAATCCATAGCCATTGTAGAATGTGCAAAATATTGTTCAAATGAGAACTGACATCTTAAAAAGTATTTTGATTTTCTTTTTAAGCTCTCCACTAAAGAGGTAAATAACTCGTATTAACATTTGGGGCAAGCAAGGTCCATCTTGTGGGGTTTGTTTGGGCTCTGTTTCCACTGAAGGAAGAAAGTCCTGCTAATAGACACAGCAGGGAGAAGCAAGATGAACGCCTCTGACGTAATGTAAGATTAGTTACCCAAGATTTAGACTGGGCCCTAAGCCCCTCAATAAATAATAGCAGGGCCAGGAAAAGCCTATGGGTCTCAACCATGAACATGAAGAGCCTGGTGAGCAGGAGCGGGAGGACAGATGGACAGCAGAGCACAGCTTGCTAGGCGTTCCATGTCTGTGCAGCTCTCTAGCTAACTAGCGGAGCAGCCGCGATGCTCACAGCACCAAACCCTACGGCTACCTCTGAGCGCAGCTCCGGCCAGACTACATGTGGCATCTGGGGTTCATTACTCTTTGGGCTCCACCTCGTGCCCAGTCTAGATAGCATTTGTGGGATTAGTGCACACGCAGTACCTTCCAGTCTGGTCTTACGTAATCCTCACGACAATCATATAAAGCAGAAAGGGTCAGAATACCAATTCTGACCCCACAGGTAAGAAAACTGATCCCCAGGGCCACCGTCCCTGCCCCTCACAGTCTCTCTCTGGGAACTGATGGTAGATAGCTGGGCACCATTCAAGCTCTGAATACCACTCACCCGCTTAAATCTCAGTTTCTGTAAGATGGGTAAGAATATTGTCCCATTTCACACATGAGCATCGTCCCAGCTGTAACCGGTGGTTCTCAGTATCAAGGCGGCCACTAGCGCCATGGCCCACGCTTTTAACCAAGGCATCTAACTCTGGAAATTATTGTCTGATACTATCCAAACGCTTTGCTCTGGGTCCAGCAGCTAGTTACCGCCCAGTGCGTCCTCTATGCTCCTTCCAGGCCACGCAACTCCACAACGGGTCCCGTTAATTATGGCCTGCATAAACAGAGCTGCCCCAGGCCTCACCACTGACCCCCAGATGACCAGGGTCTGTGGTGACAGCTAACACTTCCTAGCAATTCGGCCGGAGGAGGCACCTGCAGACGCAGAGTGGATCAGAGGACCTTTGTGCGGGGCCTCCATCCATTCATGGGAAGGCACTGAGAATGGGGATCTCTTTAGCACGAAGGCCGTCATACAACCAGAGCCGAGAGTTAAGAGAGTCACTGGTGATGGCAAAACAACAAACGACAAAGGAGGAAAGCAGGCTTTCTGTTGTTGGCTTTGTTGGTTTTAAAAACAGAATCAAATTGGGATGCAATGGTCACTCCAGAATCCCAGCACACGTAAGGAAGAAGCAACAGAGCTATCACCAGTTCAGGGTTAGCCTGGTCTACATAGTGACTCCCAATCTAGCCAGGGCTACAGTAGCAAGACACTATCTCACAATACTAAATAAATAATATATCTATATTATATTATATAATAATAAGTGAGATAAAATACAGAGTTAAAAACTTTTACTGGGAGTGATCACATTTAGATATATCTTCAATATCAGTCAGGTCAACCTCAGAGTCACGTCATCATACTTCAAGAAATGAACGATGCTCCCAAGAAAAGAAGCAAGTACACAGCCCGCGTCTCCTGCTCAGAGAGGGCTCCTCCTAACGAGACCCTTCCTGAAGGTGGTACAGGCCAACGTTGTGTGGACACAGTAGGTGTCTTAGCCACTCTGCAAATACATCCTACCTGCCTGCAAGGTAAGCAGCGAGCCCCGTGAGCCACGTGACAGTGGGGTTCACAACTCATTCTGCAAACTGAACGTCGATGTGTGGTTGCACACCTAGACACAACTAAGTTGTGTAGATAACTCTACCCAACTGATACGAAGATTTCCTATTGTGGGAGAGAAATATCGGGGAGACAAGGAATAAACATGCAGGGTTTTTCTCTCAACCTCGCTCCCTTTTCAAAGACCGAAACATCCTCAGATCTTCAATGCATCAACAAGACATTTACTGGGGAACTTGCATCTGACTCACCTATTGGGTTCCTATCGAAGAACAAGACCGGAGCTTTCAGGATGGACTCAAACATCCTGTTGTGCAAAGTCTGGGAAGCCTTTACAAGAACATAGAAGACCAATAGTGATCTCGCGATGCCAAAAAGGACCGTAATGGCAGTTAAACCTGAAATAAAGAGAAGTCAGAGAAAACGGGGTCTTTACATTGCTCCACTAATGTAGGTTGGATAGGCTATTCGGATATCACTTATTAATTACATAAACATCTAGGTTCTACCTAAGTATAAAGTATTTATAAGATACGCTGACAAAAATTTAAATTTTTTTTCTCAATAAATGGAAAATACGTATGTGGGGTGGATAAAGTATAGACATCAGGGTTTCATAAATACATTGCATGCTCTCATAAAAACTCAGGAGAAGGTTAATCACTGGAAAGCTGTCCTTTCTGTCTCCATATCCAGCGATTATTTATAAGACCCATAACCTAACACTGTAGGGTTTCGATAATACCAACTTGTAATACTAATGGGGAAGAAATTCACCTTTTCCCTGTAGTGAATGCCCACGCAGCTTTAAGGAATTTGAAAATACCACATTAAGTGGCATATGGAAAAACTTAAATGGTTGAATCGTGAGAAAATATAAATCAATGTTAAGATAGTTACATAAGCACCTAATCACCATGTGTCCCATATAAATGTCACACATTTTAAATGAGCACCATATAAACTCTATGTTTCATAAAGGCACATTCGGATAGCCGCTCAGCACAGAGATCGCTGGGGTGGGCTGTGTGCTGCTGGGGACGGAAGATCTTTACACATGAGGCGAGCATCCTTCCACCGAACCTCAGCCCTACCCTCTGTTCTCCCGGTATCTATTAGCTTTCGCTCACACTGCTGCCCAGTATGGACGAACTGATAAGGTAAAGAGTTTGCCGTGTAACAACGCCGTGTTTTTATCTGACCTCTGAAAGCTGATGAGTTCTGAAACTCTACACACGGGCATCATCCTTAGCCTTCCAGCCTACTTGAATAGATAATGGACCTATTTCCCGTTAGGTCCTGCATAGTCCAGGGTTTGGGATGGTAACCAGTCAATGGATTAAGTCAGTACCGAATCCCGGGGAGTGGGGCTCTATCAGAGATAATGCATCCCATCTGAGGAGAGCTGGGATGAGAGCTTCCTGTGGGAATGCCTGAAATTCCAGATGAGGATTTTTTATGAAGTGTGTAATCTACACATATTCCGGGGCAGCCTTGTGAAGACAGAGTGTGGTGAGGAGAGGACTCTGGCCAACCACATGTTAAATTAATCACACAGCTGGAGACAGGATACCATTGCTGATCTCACTGTAGGAAAGTGAAGGAGCCCTCATTCCTAGACACTGGGCTGCTCTCTGCTTAGCCTCCCCCTTCGGTAATTGGTGAGGCCCCAGAGATGAGCGGTGTGCTGACGGGAACTCTGCACACCTGCGAGGGGATAATGCTTTTATTTGGGGGCCTTGCTGTCAGAGGATTCCATCCAGGTTCAATAAAGGCCCGGGCTTACTTATGCAGACAGAACTGGAGCAATCCACAGCACAGGGTGCGGGTCCGTTTCTAATCCCCTGCCCATCCGTATAATGATAGAAGAGTTAGCTAGGGCAACCTATTAGAATAGACAATAGCCACAGAGTTCCAGTGGGTGCTCTTCTGAACGCTCAATCCTAGTTTAACTTTCAAAATCCAGTATAGAGCAAATTAAGAGTCTTCATTCAACCTCTTCTGGTAGATTTCAAAAAAAAAATAATAATTATTCTAATTAATTCACAGAGTAAATGCGACTGAGCCTCCTAATCTGTTAAGACGCTGCTGAATTACTCCTAGGAGCTCTGCTAGCTCACACAGGCTCACTGTAAGCACCTCGGGCTCCCAGATAATAGACCCAATGGCTAAACTTTACCTGCGTAAATTCCTAAGTACCAGTTAAGATCTAGGGTCTCGGTTACACTTCCATTCCCGTTCTCGGTGTTATTCAGCGCACTCTGCTGGTTTGCCCTACGGACAGAATGTGGAAGGAAAAGGCGATTAGGTAAACATACAACAAAAGGAATCTCAGTTAGAGAGAAAAGTCTTGTGCGAGAAAATGAGTCTCAGTTCACACAGTCCTGTGAACCTGCCTTTTAAACTTCAGTTTGAATTGGGCTAGAGAGATGGGTCCATAATTCAGAGCACTTGCTGCTCTTCCAGAAGGCCTGGGTTTGAGTCCCAGCACCCACATGGTGGCTCACAGTTGTTTGTAATTCTGGTTCCAGGATCTGATGCCCTCTACTGGCCTCTCCGGCCACAAGCCACAAACATGGCACACAGATACATATGCAAGCAAAACACTCATCTACATAAACTAAAATAAAGGTGCCGCCTCTAATACCAGCACCCGAGAGGCAGAGGCAGGCGGATCTCTGTGAGTCTGAGGTCAGCCTGGTCTACAGAGTGAGTTCCAAGATGGCCAGGACTACACAGGAAAACCCTGTCTTGAAAAACAAAACAAAATCAATCTGAAGCTTGACAGTCAGTTCCCAGCACGCAGCTGAGGACCAGATGTGGTGAAGACCTCTGCAGGTCACACTTCACTCTTTCTCTCCAGGAGACTAAGCTTAGACCAGAAGGCCCAACAAGCCCACCTCTCCCTAAAACCTGTGGAAAAATGGAGCTCCCGCTGGATCTCAAAGTCGTTAATTCAGCATGAGCCACTCACCAGTAGGAAAGCCACCAGTCCTGAAGGACGTAGAAAACCTGCAGAGGGAAGCGAAATATAACATCGGCACGGCTTCCAACTTGAAATTGCTAAGGTGTGGAGATACAGAGGGGATTTCCAGAGAACCAGGACGATTCCAGCAAGCATGGGTCAATGCCAAATCCCACTTCCCAGACAAGATGTCATGGTCAAGATCTTACAAGGTAACCCCAATTTTTTTCTACGCATTTTCAACTCCAGTTAGCGTCCTTATGTTGCTCCCCACTGACAACATACCTCAGTGTAAATCCCCGAGAGAATGGCAAAATGTGACAATCACGCAAAAATGTATGTGTGCGACTACCACACTGAGGGCACAACCTCATTATGTACCTGCGCCGCCATGTTCAGCAGAATGAGGAAAACGATGAAAAACCAAGATGCACCCGCAGCGAAGTAATTCTTGTAGGCCTTGAAGCCAACTTTCCCTTCTGAACGGCTCTCCTCGGGCTGCGCTGCCTGTGTGTTTTCTGTCTGTGAAGGGAGAGGTGTTGGTAAGCAAAGAGTCACACAAAACGTCTTCAAAAATTGACTGTTGACGAAGCTCGGGAAAACAGGTAAACGATTTGTGGCTGGCAGGAATCAGAAATGGTAATTCTTCCCTTGCACACACCTACCCAGTCTGGCAAAGCGTCCAGCCAGGACTCAGTCTCCCACTTCCAGGAGCACTTGCTCATTGCGGCATGGCTCTGCGTGAGCACGGCGGCATGATTTCCAGCACACGCCTAACGCCCACACCCAAAGCAATCACAAAACGATGAGGACTAAACCATCACTCATCAACGGAAGAGAACAGGGTGGAAGCGGGGGTGCAGATCTGCACGGGTGCGCACTGAACACATGCAAGGCTCTGAATCCAACTGCAGCATGAAATCACCAAGAATAACCAAGCGGCTCACACTGCTAGCCAAACACAGGAACTGAGAAGAAACCTCTACAAGAGAGGGAGGAGGGCATATCCTTTTATATCAGAATTATCCAGGCTCCTAGGTATGGAGAATGAGGATTTGGATAGCAGAGACGATAGTCAGACCTGGCCTGCTTGAGTTCCACAATTGCACATTGAAATTATTCAGAGGGAAAAAAATCGTCATCTGTACTGGAAATGTATGGACACTTTTTTTTTTTGCCACTGTTCCTTAGGCTATCATGTATCAAGTGTTTATATAGCATTTATATTGAATTGGAAATTGTAAGTAATCCAGAGACGGCTTAAAATATACAGAAGCACACCGGCTATGTGCACACATGACACTCTTACACAGGCAATCTACAGAAGCACACCGGCTATGTGCACACATGACACTCTTACATAGGCAACTTGAACTCCCAAAGGTCTTAGACCCAATCCCACCCATGCCAGCTCCAAGGATGACTTTCTGTCTAACGGAGCAGTGGTGTGGATTGCTTGAAAGGCTTTCAATATGGGAGAGCGTCACCTGGGCCTATGCTGGCCATGGGGCACTCAGTGAGGAATAAGATGTGGCCCTCGGGCTAGACTAAGGGAGAAATGGAAGGAACTGACCTAAAAGGGTCACGTGCTAAGGCTACCAGATCTGTGTCCCTCTTGACTAACAAAAGCATCTGAAATGGAGCAGGCTACTCATGTCACCCACCTACACTGTGAACGTCCAGCAAGTAACAAAAAGGACCTGATGTGATGCACCCATGGCTAGAGTCTAAGGCGGCCGTTCTCAACCTGTGGGTCTCGACCCTTTTGGGGATCAAATGACCCTTTCACAGGACAAGCCTAAGTCTATCAGAAAACACATATATCTACATTACAATTCCTAACAGTACCAACATTACAGTTATGAAGTAGTAATTGGGGGTCACACCACGAGCCACAAGGTCTGTAAGAGAAAAGGAACATATAACCCAAGACGGACTCACATCTTGGCCCTCCGGAGCCCCATCTTTCAGGGAGGGTCTGGACGATTGCTGGGACCAAATGGAGGACTCGGAGAAGGTCCGCTTCCTGAGGGTGGGGGTTCCTGAAGCTGGGGAGTGCTCTCCTTCCTCATTCTCCTTCTTTAAAAGGGAGCCGAAGTCTATGCCGGACTTGAGAAACTCGGTGTACGTCCCCTTCTGCACCATTTGTCCCTGAAACAAAAGGAATTTCAGAGGCGGGAATTCACACTTCATGTTCATGGTGCTAATCTCACCAAACCACAGCCTACGGGCCCCGAGCTACAGCTGCCCTTGGGTCTGGAATCCTGGTCGGCAAGAAGGGAGCGACGCAGCTTGCCTCCTAAGTGAGAATCCTGCCTCCTGCCAAATTCTAGGTGCCTGGACCAATGTGCCATTGTGCCTTACAACCCAAATACCATGGACAGTGAAGGAAGCAAACACTGTAGATGATGGGAGAGCCCACAGGGTCTTTTATGACAACAAAGAGATGACTCACGCAGTGGGAAATTTGATTGACAGGGAGGTGCATGAGCAACTCCACCTACATAGGACACACTCACCCAGCCTCAGCTGACCACCTGCCCCCCCCCCCGCCGCCAAGCAAGACTTAAGCCAATATCATGGTCTTAGACTAAACCGTGCCCCCAAATTCAAGACCATTACTGGGGATTCACCAATCCACAGCACATCTACTTGGGGGTTCTCTTCCTGACCACAGTTAGAGGAAATAATGTGCAAATATCTTCACGATGTCCTACCCCATGAGGTGAACCCCAAATGATTTATTAATACTTAGGGAAGTAGCTCTGAGGGGAGGATGGCTCAGGTTAGAGGAAAATGGCCCTGGACCCTACCCAATCCCTGTCCTTCTCCAGCCCAACACCAATCAAAGTGGTCCACTGATGAAAATCCCAGTGCCTTTGGGCTTTTACAAGCCTGGTAACTTAAGGATTGGAAGGTTATTCCTGGAACGCTGTGTCTTATTGCACTTAGGGGGTAAGATTTGTTCCCACACATTTTAATGCAATCACACCCTTCCTGTCAGTAAAATACACACAGAAACTACTGCTGACAGAGGGAACAGTTCCTAAGACAAGCTGTAAGAATCCAGGGAGCAGCCTGAAGGGGCAGCCATCCTCTCCGCTCTTAGAGAAGGTCAGACAAATAATCAGAGCGGTTCTCAGTTTCTCTACCTGCTAGCAGGTGAATGAATTGTTGACTACTAAAAATAAAACTCAAAATACGCAGGAGGCAGGATCGCCAAAGCAGCGGCCATGTGGGGACAGGTGACAAAACCCTTCTACACCTAGTGACTCTGCAGGCAGAATATTCAGCTCTGTGCACATGAAATTAATTGTTTTCCAGCTTGAGGAATCCGGGCGCCCATTCCCAGGGGGCCCAGGAGACAGCTGACACTCTCAGTTGTTGCTAAGGGGATAGTCACCCTGCCTTATATAATCGTTGTGGTGAGAATTTGCTCCCTGGAACTCTGACTGACAGCTCCCTCACCTCTCTTTGGCAGCCACAGTAAGTACCAAGGAAGCACTAAAGGACTCTACTATCATCACATGGCCGGTTTCCATAGCAACGTGTAATTTGCATCTGAGAATAACTGCATGCAAATATTGCGAACTCTGGCTAACATTCACTGGTCAGTTCCATCTCTGGCCAAGAGTGATGTGGGAGGTCCTTCTGTATATGTGTTGCTTTGATTGGTTATTGAATAAAGCTACTTTGGCCTATGGTGAGGCAGAATATAGCCAGGCTGGAAGGGATAGAGAGAAAGGGTAGGCGGAGTCAGAGAGATGCCATGTAGCTGCTGAAAGTGATAGACATCAGAACTTTATTGGTAGGTCACTGCCTCATGGTAATACACAAATTATTAGATATGAATTAAGATGTAAGAGCTTCCTGGGAATATGCCTGCATCATCACTGGCCAAATAGTGTCGTAATTAATAAAATTTCTGTGTGATTATTCGGGTCTGGACAGCTGGAAATCGAACGAGTAGTCTCCTATGCGACAAGAGACTACAGAAGAATCTTATGGTTTGGATGCGGCTTAATTATTTGTGTTACCACTGTGTGATGAAAGGCTTGGTCCCTGGGGTGGCACTGCCGGGAGGTTCTGGAACCTTTGGGAGGCGGGGTCTGGTAGAAAGCCCTCAATCCAGAATGGACTGGGAAGCCTCAGTCTCTCTGGAGTTGACGCTCAGTGTGTGAGCGCCTCCTGGTGCCTTTCTGCCAGTGCTGCATCTGGAAGGGCCTTTCAGAAGGGAGCCCTGAAGGCACTGCGTCCTTGACCCTCTCCCCTTAGAGCTCAGGGAACCTGCAGGAGAGGAGATGGAAGGAGTGGAAGAACCAGAGGGGATGGAGGACACAGGAGAGCAAGCTCTGAACCAACTAAGCGGGGCTCAGGTGAGTTCACAGAGACTAAAGCAGCAAGCACAGGGCCTGCACGGGTCTGCACCAGGTCCTCTGTGTATATATTACAGCTTCCATTCTCCTGAGTGTGAGAACGAGCCTGCTCCTGAGCTCGTGTCCTTCTCTGGACTAGCCTTGTCCAGCCTGGATGCCATGGCTTTTGCTTTACTATATTTCATTCTGTTATGTTTTGCTGGTGTCTCCTAGAGGGCTGTTCTGTTCTAAGGAGAGACAGAAAGGGAATGGGTCTAGATGGGAGAGGGGAGGTGGGGAGGAACTGAGAGGGGCAAGCGGAGGCAAAACTGTAAAAAGGATATATTGTACAAGAAAAAAAAATTCATTTTCAATAAAAGGGGGAAATCACATGACCTGTCTTAGGTCTTCCACTGCGGCTAACTCAACGCTGAATAAAATTGATGAAGTAATAAACACATCAAGGAGCTAAAAGGTTGTTTTCTGTCCATGATGAAGAGTTTGTCTCAGACCTCCCCACTGCAAAAGATAAGCACCAAGTCACCAATGCAAACATGCAGGGTATGGGCGTGGGGGGGATACCTCAGGAAAACACCGGGAACCTTGAAAATCCCTTGCTAATTTTAATCTCAACAAGGTGGTGTTTTGTCATAGGCTAAGTTGTACCTCAAGACACTCCAGCTCTGAATTCCAGTAATGAATTAAAAAACAGGACCTTTGCAGATGCCATCAAGTTAAAGTGAGGTCACACTAGAGCAGGGTAGAGTCATGAGAAGACAGACAGACAGACGTTGGCCGACCGTACTGACTGCCAAGGACGGCCAAGGGCTGCCGGAAGGAGACCAGGGGTTGAAAAGAAGCAAGGAAGAGATTGTCCCAGAGCTTTGGGGCCAGCTCAGTCCCACCAGGGCACAGCAGAGCAGCGAGACAGCACTTCCCAGCATCACTGGCCGTCAGCTCTCGTTACTCTGTCCTAGCAGCCCTCGCACACAGACCTGCTGACTTAAGCGCATTTCTCTGCCTGCTGAACTAGACAACTGACTTCTAATTGCCTCTACCATAGCCCCCGATTATCCTGGTGGCAGCAGCATTGGAGGTGGGATACAAAATCCATCTCAGTCCAAGGCCAGTGTGCTGCTGGGTTCTGATCCCATCTCCCTCCAGGCCCCTAGATCATTCAGCACTGACATGTCACCATGTTGTTCCTCCAAACATCATGCCTCAGGTATCCCTCTTCCAGGTAAAAGCACGGTCACCATCTTCCTGTCATTGTCCCACAAGCCCCATCACACCTATTCTGACCAGAAGGGAGGCCACAGAGTGGAGAGGTTTCACCTTGCATATTACTGTGAATAGGAAGCCTAATCCCAAAGGACTTGGGTAGAGGCACCATCAAGTGGTCATCGTAACTAGGCAGCTCTGAGCAGAGGATGCTCGGCCATTCACTATTTTTGTGAATGAAAGGTACTCTTTAGGCAAAAAGATAGATGGAAGGATGACTTAATATAAAAAATTATCCAAATTATCTTCAGTACCCGTAGGTCATGTAGAAAATGAAACAAAAATGTCTAAGAAAATAGCATCATCATTTTCGTCATTGATCTCACTAGAGCATCTTACAAATTTGAGGGAGCAATTTTATCATCTGGAAGAGGACCGTGGCTTAGAATGGAAGTGACATGTCTGCTTTCTGGCGGGCTTTCTGTTGTTATTACTTGCTTGCTTGTCTGTTTGTTTGTGGGTCTCATGGGTCCCCATCTAGCCCTGAACTTGAGCTTCTGATTCTTCTGCCTCTGCCTCGAGGGCTGGGACTATGGGCCAGCACACCCACTCCACGGAGAGCTGGGAATGACTCTCTACCAATGGAGTCACATCGCCAGCCCTCAGAGTGGTATTTCTAAAAAGTCCTTCCGATATCCTCAAGGATGCGAATCTCAACTCTAAGAAATGAATGTAAAACTGGGGGAGGGAAGGCAGCTCCTCAAGTCCATGGAGAGCGGCCTGATGGGAACCCCGCATCCCGCTTTCAACCTGAGGTTCTAGCTGGTTCTGTGGACAACGACGTTGTTCACACTCTCAACTTGCCTTTGAGACACCCATAACCTTGCTCTTGAGAGGTCTTCACTTACTTCTCAAGCGCTCTGCTTTCTCTGAACCCTGCTGCGTAAAATCTGTATTAAAATCTCTTAGCGACCGCCAACCCTGCTTTTAAAGAGGCAATGACTTACATCTTTCAATATCAGGATGTGGCTGGCAGCTTTTAGGTACTGCAGCTGATGAGTCACTAAAATGGTGACCTTCTCGTGCAGGGTCTGACAGATGCACCTACAGACGTAAACACCCCCAGAGAAGAAAACACATTAGCAGGGGCTCTCCAAACCGCAAAACCAAGAGTTTGAAGCCGTAACGACATAAAGGCAACATAGCAACGACACATGCTTTAAAGGAGGTATAAATACAATTTAAACACGAGCTAAAGAGGAGGGTTAGCACTGAAGGCTGGGCGCTGCTCTTGCAGAGGAACCAAGTCTGGTTCTCAGCACCCCCGCTGGGCAGCTCACAACAGCCTTAACTCCAACTCCAGAAGATCGAGGTCCTTTTCAGGACTCTGAGGGCACCTACATACCCACACATAGATACCCACACATAACTGAAAAGTAAATAAAAATGAATCTTAAAACTTAAATACAAATATAAATTAATAATAGTGACTAAGTATTCAAATCCACTAGCAGCACCTGAGCCTACCTATGACACTTTGAAAAGTAGCCAGAAGAAGAGGCTGTGGCTGCTCATTTTTCTTCTAAAACTTAGCTTAACAATTATGTATATTTACATATTATATGGCAAAAAATAAAATTTGTGTATACTTATATAATAAATGCAGTTGGACAGTACTAATATTACAAAACATGAATAAAATTCTAATTACCTCATTGTGATATAGGAATCCTAAAGAAACACACTTATATCACATAAGGAGAAAGACGGGTACTTTTCTTAGATGTCTGCTCAGGGGACTGCTTCTGACGTACACATTAATTAATATTATTAGGGGCTAAGGCTATCACTCAGATGGCGGAGAGCACGCAGAGTGTGTACAAAGTCCTGGGCTTGAACTACTGGTGGTGCTTGCCCACAGTCCTTGTACTCAGGAGCTGGAGACGGTAGCCTAGTTCAAGAATATCCTCAACCATATAGTAAGCTTGTGTGGCCAGTCTGGGCCACATGAGACCATCTCAAAACTGCAACAAAACTCAAGAGGAAGAATGAAAACCAAGTAAATGAATAGCCTTAGAGCCACATGAGACCATCTCAAAACTGCAACAAAACTCAAGAGGAAGAATGAAAACCAAGTAAATAAACAGCCTTAGAACCTCAGTTACCTCTACTAACGGACACTTGCAATCTCTCTTCCTAAATAACCATGGGTAGAAAAGCGAATGAGGAGCCCCCGCAGCCTCCATAACAATCCTACTCCCCATGCTGGGAGCCAATATTCTTCTCTCAGAACTAACAATTTCCAACACTTAAAAGGAGAGAAGTCAATGACCTTTAAGGTTTAGACTGCTCCAAGTGCATCCAGATTCTCACTGCAGACCCAGGAGAACTCAGCCTTAGCATATGCATGGGGAAGGGGAAGCTGGCTAAGGGCCACCATACATGGAGCTCTGCCTACAGCCTGGATTCCCAAGTCTTCACACAGAGCAACCGGCAGGGCTGTAGGCCACAGGCTAGCGAGTGAGGTTGTCAGAGAGAGGCTGTCATGGAGAGACATATAATCGAGCCCTTCAAATCCGTGTGTGTGTGTGTGTGTGTGTGTGTGTGTGTGTGCTGTGATAGCAATGAAAAAGAAAGAAGCCATGATTTTAATAGAGAGTTGGGAATTGGAGGGAAGAAAGGGAGGGGGGAAGTGACATAATTATATTTTAATTTTTTAAAAAAGTCAAAAATTACAAATAACAAAGAAACTAAAGGTACTTATCTGAGAAAGACAGAGACAGATACAGGGGAAGGTCCAGACCACAACCACAGAGGTACAAAAAAATGTCAGCTCTACCCTCCATCTTTCCCTAAGCCTTCGCCATCTGCTTAAAGGTGCCTTTAGAACTGGGCTATTACCAGAACTAAGACACCCGCCCCATGCAGAAACCACACGCTTTCCATGAAGGATTACTTTTCCACCCTCTGGCAGTCTTAATGTGGCTTATTTCTTACCGACATCTCTCGACCTGCAGCGTTTGCGCTTCAGCTGAGCTGTTCCTTCACTGGAGCCAGCTGCCCCATCCCTTTGTGTGACTGCCTCTAGGAGGCGCTAACATTCAGTCCTGGGTGCTACTGCACCTACAAGGGCAAAGCCGGAGGTTTCAAATGCACCAACAACTTCCACCACAAACAAGAGAACTTAGAATATATGTTTTCCCTAAGTTAGGTGGCTTTTTTCCCCAAAATGTCTACAGAAATATTCATTAAATTTTTAAAAAGTAAGACTTTTTAAAGTCGGTTTGTGTATATTGTATGTGTGCATGTGTGTGTGTGCATGTGTGTATGTATATATATATGTGTGTGTGTGTATGTGTGTGTGTGTGTGAATATATCTACACACATACACATAATCTTTGGCATATTTCCTAGATTGGTCAAAAAATACTAAACTCAATGAATCCTCCTGCCTCCACCTTACTAAAACTATGCAGACACACGCCTCTGGGCCTTCCTGTGCCACACTGATGCGGATGGGCCCATCATCTAATTCTGTTCCCATACAAGAACCTCAGGGAGCAACCAAACCACGGCAGCCCCGCGTGTCCGAGGGAACATTTCAGGGACACAAACAGGAAAGACAGAGTCAGTAAGTACTTGGACTCATTTAGTTGAAGGCTTTTGTCTTTCCGCACACTCCCACACTGGAAATCCGTCACCGGGTGACGGTGTGAAGAGGTGGGGCTTTCTCACTGGAAATCCGTCACCGGGTGACGGTGTGAAGAGGCGGGGCTTTCTCACTGGAAATCCGTCACCAGGTGACGGTGTGAAGAGATGGGGCTTTCTCACTGGAAATACGTCACCGGGTGACGGTGTGAAGAGGCGGGGCTCTCTCACTGCCGTCACGGAAAGGACCAGCGTTGTCCCTTGTAAAGGAGAACCAGTGGGTGTGCCCAGGAGTCACCAAGTCCTCAAGAGACATCACATCTGCTACCGTCTCATCTCGGGCTTCCAGCCTCCACGAGATGAGAAACACCTCTCTGTTGTTTACAGATTTTAGGTTATGGAATTCTGCCACAGTAGCCTGCGCAAACTAAGAAATACATAAACTAAGACGAGGAGGTAGGCAGCAGCGTGGGAGATCTAATTAGGAGAGCCCTGCACAGATCACGGGAGAGGCAGGCATCTGCAGTTGAGACTTTCTAAAATGCAGAATCCACAGCTACATCAGGCTGGCATCGGTCGGGAGACCCCAGCCTTCTGTTTCCCATGTTTGTAACATATATAGTTGTAAAACCCGCAAATCTTAATAACCTTGGATGTATATCCGTGATTGAAATAAAACTGCTAATGGCAAACAGAAGAGTGGCTCGTTCCCGTTTAATACAAAGCACTCCACGTTTCTCAGCTCCGACGCGGCCGCCATCTTTCACAGCATATTGTTCAATCCAATTTTCTAACTCGTTGAGAGCATTCTCCAGCTGCTGCTGAGTGATTTCCTAAATTGCATTCGTGCTTCCTGCTCCAAGTTCCCCCAAAGAATGTGGTTCTGATTAGCAAGCAACGATTCTAACAAGCTTGCTTCTATCGAGGGTCTATCCAAAGCCATTAAACATTAAAGGTGCAAGCAGACTTTATAAACACCCATGCTCAAAGGGACGCTTGGGGGGGGGCACCTCTGTGATCTGCATACCGATACCAAGCAATTAAAATGCCTCCCTCTCTCCTCCCGAGAGCCTCCGCTACAGCTTCCCACCTCTGGAAGTATGGGAACTTCATCTGGAGTACTGGGGAACTTGAGTGGATCCTTCAAGGCTCACCAAAGTGACAAAGGGTTGATTCTGCCCAGAGCAAAATCCATCAAGTCACAATCAAGGGTCACAGGAAAGGAGGGTCGGATCAAAGAGCTGGGTCAGAGCCAAGTGCCAGCCGCTCTTACTTTCTGTGCTCTGAAATGCTCAACTCACTACCACGCATGTGTTTTTGTTTGTATCGTAGTAAAATTCACATGCCGTAAAAGTCACCACCATGGCCACTTTTAAAAGTGTCTTATTCGCAGCATGAAGTACGTTCACACTGCTGTCCAGCCCACCACCACCCACAGCCAGAATGCTTTCATATCCACAAAAGGCGACACATTTGTGTCCCCTGCGGATGTGGGGGCGGTCACTCCCCACCATCTGCCAAGCCCCAGAAGGCCACGCCCAGTAGATGGTCTTGTGTTCCAGTCCTAGAATCCAAAGCCTAGATGGGTGGTTTTCACTCTGCTGAGGGTCTGTTATAAACTGAACCCCACTTCCCTGAATTCATACCAAATTTACAAAAGGTCAACACCTAATGGTTTAGACAGAACCTCTAGAGCGAAAGCTAAGAGTAGCTATGAGGGTGGTCCTCAAACAACCTGATGGGTGTCCTCTGAAGAAGAGGGAACTTGGGAAAGATACCCAAGAAGGAAAAGACAGAAGATGGCCATTGACTTCCACTCTCCGTGGCTTAGTCTGGGAGAGTCACAGCAGACTCTAGCATTTTATTTTGATGCACAGGGATGAAGAAGGCAGAAAGTGCAGGCTAGCGATTCAGGGGCTCTAAACCTGCCATAAAACCTGCAGCTCCCCTTGAGGGAAAGGTGCCCACTTGCTGCTGTCATCTGGTGCCTTGCTTGTCCACACCTTTACACCTGTGTCATAAGTGCCCATTCTCAGAGTCCCCAAACCTCCCAGTCTACAGCTCAACATATATCACTGAGTCCTCTTCTGCAGGCCCTATGCGACCACTGAATCTCACTGCGAAGGTGGGGCTGGAGAGACGGCCAGTTAAGAGCGCTTGCAGAGGACCGGAGTTCGGGACTCAGAACCCATGTCAGGTGGCTCACAACCAGCTCCAACTCCAGTTCTAAAGGAACCCAGTCCCCTCCCTGGCCTCCTCCGGCACTGACACACACGTGGCACTCACTGACCAGACACATACACACACACACACACACACACACACACACACACACACACACACACACACACAAAATTGAAATAGATCTCATTTGCAAATTTTGGAGGAAAAAAGCCAACTCCCTAGTACCAAGCGGCCAAGCCCCTTCCTTCAATTTAAAAACACACATCTTTTTTTCTTCTTGGGGCCTGGGTCTTCTAGTCTCTTGGCTAAGAACTTCAAGGAGCTATAGAGAACAAATAAAGAGAGTGCCCTCTGATCTGAGACTCTACACACAGGCTCTGTGCATTTTGCCACACTAACGGCACCTTCCCTATTTCCCTACCTTGATCTTGGGCTTGTAAAATGTGTGATATGGAGGGGAAGAGAGAAGAGGTGCATTAATGAGAGTCTAGATGAAGCTGTAGAAATTATCTCACGGGGCCCAACTGGAAGGGTCCCTGAACACGGAGCTGACATAAGAGAGCACAAACTCACAGCTGGAAGAGGTGTTTTCCCACTTCCGCATCTACTGCGCTGAGTGGATCGTCGAGGAGGTAGATGTCGGCGTCTTGGTAGACTGCCCTGCAAGGCAAAGAGGGAAATCAGACCGCAGGGCACCTCCCTGGCCACTGTCTTAGGGATCGTGGCTCTCAGTCACTGGATGTTCATCCAAAGCACCCATGGAATTACTCAAAACCAGCACTCTGTAAGGTACTGACACAGTGAGCAGACGCTACACGCCCCGCCCCCCCCGCCCCCCCCCGCCCCCCCGCACACTTCCGTCAAGGCTCAGACGCAGGGCTGCTGGAAGACAAGTTACCGTGCCAAGTTCACCCGTGCTTTCTGCCCTCCGCTGAGCGTGGCTCCCCGGTCTCCTATCACAGTCAGATCTCCATCCTCCAGAAGCTGCAGGTCCTGCACGGAGACAGAGGGAAGACTCAGAGCTGCTCTTCCGCAATCATCTTACACACCTTGCAGCGGGACTTTAGGGGTGAGGCAAGGAGAACACACAGGACCCAAGGAATCTCTGTATTACACTTGCTATGAGGATTTAACTATTTCTAAGGTACCCAACTATGTTAAAAGGTATCTGCCAAGCGATGAGCAGAGATTCGCCATTGTCTGGACACAGCGACTCTGGCAGGGAAGGAAACAAGGTCCCTACAGCATCCATCATGGAGACTGACACTATGAAAAGCTGGCAAGGGTGTGCAAGACAAGTGTGAAGACGTGGGAAGGTAGCTGTCAGAGGGACTGGAGAGGGAAGGTCCATTTCCCACTGCATGGCCAGCCAGGGCTCAGACAGACAGAGTGGAGTGTGGAGTGAGCCCGCCAAACCTGGGCAAAAATAGATGGCATCAAAACAGAAAGGAATAACATATCGATCCCATGAGCTGACACATGTGGGTGTGGTCAAAGGCGCAGTGTTAAGAGATGATGCTGATGATGGGGAGGGGTCACAGGTTCACGCCTATGAAATTCAAGGGAGGGCATGATCTGCCTTATGAAGTGGGAGGAATTGCTAGAGGGCATGATCTGCCTCATGAAGTGGGAAGAATCGCTAGCTGAGGCAAGGTCGCGCCTAAGGAGCAGCTGAAGCATTCAGCGTGAGAACTGTGATGGAGTGGGAACAGTAACATCAGAGACATCAAGAAATTAATGGTAAAAGATTCCGGATTCGTGTGTCTCTGTGCGTGCACATGTGAGCATGTGTGCATACATACATGTGTGATCAAGAGCCAGTGAGAGGCTGGGTGGTGGCACACATCTTCAATCCCAGCACTCGAGAGGCAGAGGCAGGTGGATCTCTGTGAGTTCAAGGCCAGCCTGGTCTACAAGAGCTAGTTCCAGTACAGGCCCCAAAGCTACAGAGAAACCCAGTCTCAAAACAAAACAAAATGAAAAAAAAAAAAAAAGAGTCAGAGTGAGAACCAAAGGCACACACAGAGAGGGACAAATAAAGATAGTGATAGGAATGTAGGCACAGTGAATAAGAAAGACGAACACACAAGACTTTGAATATAAGAGAGCTATTATTCTGCAGTTAGTGCTCCTTCTTATGCAGTATATATATACAGGTATATTATATTATTTATACTATATTATGTTTGTTATGGAGCATATATGTATCCCATTACAATGTAACATATATGTATGTATTTACTACTTAATACAAGTCTAGTTTGTCACTGTGGCTTGACATCATTTATAGAACACATTCTCTCCTATCAACTGTAACCCAGCAGGCAGGAAGGTCCCACTGAAACATGAAATTATTTCCTTTCCACATCATCGTAAAACCTCCTGACCAACACAATCTGTGACATTTCAGCTACAGTTCAAATGAAACTGTACTTTCCTCAGAGAGCTGACTAAAGAGCCTTCAGCACCCAGCTCTGCGAGATCTGCCTGGCCTTTCCTACACAAAGAACAGACAGGTGTCCAGGACTCTGTGGCGAGCTCCTTCAGGCTACTACTAACCAGTTCTTACAGCCAACGCAAGAAACAGCATCTGTAGGAATTCGCCTTTTATCTACCTGCTAACTTAGATTTACCCATCAGGTATGTGCGGTTTTGATCAATCATCTTTGAGTTTTATTAAAATCATCATGCGTAACAAAAATTTCATTTTACTTTCTGGGAAGCTCAGTGTCAAGTCCGAGAACCTACTCTCTCCTGGAGACGTGTTGGAGTATTAAAAAAATATAAGTTGCTAAAACATGTTGTTTCCTTTAAAATGAATAAAGTATAAGTCAGGCAGAAGCTGCAGACTCTCTTCCTGGTTTATTCTCGGGTATGCCAGACTGACGATTGGAACTCGGGGTCCACAGACTGACTAGGACGGGGATCATGTCAAGCCATGTTGTTCTTGAATGCTGAATGGTGGTAGGGCCCAGTAAATTTTAAACACAATTTACAGACAAAACACAAGGGCTCCAGGATCCCCTAAAAAATACCATGGAGTGGAGACGGGGCCTCAAACGTTCCGACAGAAATGACTAACGACAGGTCACCCGGTGCGTGTGGTTAAAGCTGTGTGGAGGGTACGGTGAGGGCTCAACACGCTAACCCCTCCACTTCTGCAAATTTTTGCAATTGTTCAATGTTTTGTAAAAGTGAGGAATCAGGAGCTGGAAAGACGGCTCACTGGTGAGAAGCACTGGCTGCTCTTCCAGAAGCCAGGATTGATTCCCAGTACCCACATGGTGGCTCATAACTATCTGTAACTTCAGTTCCAAGGGATCCGACACCCTCTCTGGCCTCTGCAAGCATCAGATGGGCAGATGGCACATAGGCGTACATGCCAGCAAAACACCTATCCACATAACAGAAAAATAAATACCTTTTTTTAAAGTTCAGGATTGCAGAAACAGGTGGGAAGGGAGATGGAAGCACACCCCTGGTGGGAGCAAGGCCGTGGGCGAGGTGGTGGGCTCAAAGGACACGAAAACACCCCTGGTGGGAGCAAGGCCGTGGACGAGGTGGTGGGCTCAAAGGACACGAAAACACCCCTGGTGGGAGCAAGGCCGTGGGCGAGGTGGTGGGCTCAAAAGGACACGAAAACAGTTAAAAGTAGACAGAACTCAGTCAAAGGAAACCAACCAGCAATGAGTGGGGATAGAGCGGTTTCCAGAAGCGCAGCGTAAGGATTATAATAACTTAAAAATCTTCCAAAGCCAGAGTTTAAAGAAACAGCCGCATGACCAGAAAACAGAGCGTAAGAGACTCAAAGGTCACCTTCTTCAAAGCGCAGGCCTTGATCACTTTCTCATAGCGCTCCTTCTCGTATTTCTTCCCAAATAAAATATTGCTCCTCACGGTTCCCGAGAACACCCAGGGCTGCTGAGAAACGTAGGCGATCCTCCCGTGCACATTGACGAGCCCGCTGGACGGAGGCAGTTCACCCAGCACCGCGCTCAACAGTGACGACTGAAAAAGAGTGTGCAACACACACAGGCTGTTCATGTCGGCACGGAATAAACCATGCTCCCGGCACGCCCAGCCCTGCCAGTTTATCAAGCACCAGCTTCTCGGGGGAAACAACACTAGAAGCTGCAGGTAAAAGCAAATATAGAACATAAATATCACTGCTGTATTTGATAGAAATAAAAAGCATACAAAAATAGCTTGTGGCAACTGACCCTCCCAAATGACCTTCCCCCAAACACAATGCTATATCGAATGGCTGGCTATAAGCTATTAAGAATGAAATATGAAATACTATATGTAATTAACAATCTTTGTGGGGCATTGTGGTGCAGGCTTATAATCTCAGCACTGGGGAGACAGAGGCTGGAGGATCTGTAGGACCCCACAGCTTCAGGTCCGTTCTATCTTGACTAAAGTCCAGAGAGTTCAAACCTATTCTTGCTCCTCAAGGACAAATAACAAAGTGTTTGGCCAAAGATGTCTCACTACTCAAAACCAGACAACAGGATGGTTGACTTAGGGCATGGATACCATGTGTTTGAGCTGTAAGGAGGTAATCACACTTGTTTGTTCCTTGAATCATGGGAGGGAGGTCTTCGGCCCTCCTCTTTGGACTGGGGTATATAAAGACTATGAGTAATAAACTCAGGGTTGTTACAGTATGCACTGGGAGCCCACCCAACTCTATCTTCTGTCTCTTGTATCTTTTTATTCCTCACGCCCCTTTTCAGACATGTGCGAAAAATCGGCTGGTCTCGACAAGAGTCAAAGTCATCCTTGTCTACATAGCAACTCTGAGGCTATTGGATGGATAGATAGATAGATAGATAGATAGATAGATAGATGTAAATGAAAATGAACAGAGGAATGTTGGTATCAGCACAATGGTCTAGCATAACAGAAGTTTCTCATATCCAACACTGAATGAAGTTGCTGCTGCATCCAGATAGCCCAGATGGCCTTTGTTCAAGTGCCTGTTCCAGACGGGCCATGCACCAATGCTGCATCCAATGCACAGGAGAAGACCTTTGTTTAAAGGAGTTCTGAGGAGCAAACCTTCATCATACACAGGAGTCCCCCTCCAGTCTATCACATGTGTGCCTACCACAATCAGAGAGCTGGAGACTATCCACCTAGCCCAGAACCCAATCCTGTGAAAGGCAGCGGTGCCTGGGTCTGGGCATCTCCGTGTATCCTTTGGTCCAGGCACAGCAGGAGCCACAGCTGTGTTAGAGCTAAATACGGAGGACCGGCAGGACTTGGGTAACTCGTGAGAGGAACTGTCTCATCTGGACAGCCTCCCAAGACCCTGTAGCATTTAGAGGCCAAACTGGAAAAAGGAAATCTCCCTCATCCTTCGTCCTTCCGTCCTGAGGAGTAGTAGTCACATAAGCAATTCCCAATGAGCCAACTCTAAGATGAAACAAAACAAAAAACTCACCTTGCCTGCTCCCACTGGACCAATCACAGCTAACAATTCACCAGGTCTGGCGGTAAAGGAAAGGCCTTGCAGGGTTGGAGTATCTAAGGCCTAGGAGGTAAAGTTTACAAAATGTCTTATTTTAAGGAAGTAACATAACCACTTTGAAAAGTAGGAGAAATTAAACTACAGCCACCGATACGTACAAACGTAACCCATATCCTCCCTCACTGAAGATGTTATGAATGGACAGCCTTCTCACGCTGTTTACCTAATAAGCTTATTTAAATCAATAAACTTGAGTCCACATTTCCATATGAATTCGGAATTTAAGCAGGACAAAGGACAACGCTGTCTTCTCGTGAGGAGAGATACTTGGCTCATACTAAAGCACTAACACAATATTCCTATTAGCATATCCCGTGCAGGAGGATTTTAATCCTTCCGGAATGTTCACTGGGACCTTAGGCTTTGATCCTCTACGTCGCTCACTCCCACAAGGTGGCAGCACAGAACACGCCAGCATGTCTGGCCCCTGACGAGCAATGTGACACCATCCTTAACCTTTGTGAGCAGGAATCTCAGCAGTAGGCTGGAGACTCAGGACTCGGGAAGACACTGGGTCGCATGGAACCAACCACAGAAAACAACGTCCTACAAATACCCTCAGCACTGCAACAACTCAGTGCAGGCTAGCGGGTCAGTTACCTTACACCTGTGACATTCACGGCCTGTCTTGCTAAAGTAAACAGGGTCAACACAATTCTGCTACCATAAAAACCACGGAGGTACAGGCTACACAGTGGGTGGGTGGGGGCAGAGGTAAGGCATAGTATACCATGAGAAATCACATTCCTGGGCAACCTACGCATTTTAACATAGAGAAGTGTAAGACTCTATGTATGGCTTATGTAACTATTGCAAATTCAAGAACTTAATACTGCGAATTCTTTGAACTGAGATTTATTGAGAGCACAAGTGTGGAACTCCATATGTAGATTCACTGGATAAAATCGCATTAAAGCTACGCACAAGGTAGATATGAAGCACAAATGATTCTCATTTCATACCTGGGTCTCATCTCCAAGGTTTCCCATGGGAATACCAAAAATCTCACGATACCCAAAAATCTGGAACGCCCTATTCAAACATTTCAAAGTACACAACTTATACTAAATTTCAAGAAAAATGATCGCTGACAATTTTTAAGTTGTTTTACAGCTTCTTAGTTAAATTTTTTCAAGGAGTCAAATCAAATCCACATCTCTATACAACTCCCACATGTTGCAAATTCAGTTGAGAGACGTGGGCTCTACGGAATCTTAAGAGAGAGCCCTAGACCAGAATAACATTTCCTTCCTTTGGCCAACAATCAGCACATCGGATTGGCTTGTCTTCAGCAGTAGCCAGATGTACAGAAAGGAGAAGGGTGGTCTAAACTGGAGTGCAGACCTTCACAGTTCTGACCACCAGCACTAAGAACGTTTGTCTAAACCCCGCATGAACGCGTCAGACAGCACACTACACAATACTGACGGTAACGGTGGGGAGTGGAGACACTGTTGTCCGTGGGTTGATCTGAGGTGGTCCAGTCCCAGATGTGGCCCATTGCTCACGGGGTACATCTGAGTGTACCACACAGCTAAGGCTGCAGTAAACTCATCTGAACCCCAAGCCTTTTGCAAGATGTTCTCTTAAAGAACCAGTGTTCTGTACAACACACTGAGGAAAATGGTCCTCTGTATCACAGAAAAACAAGAATAAACCAAAGACTACACAGTCCTTGTGAGGACAAAGGGGCTCTTGCCGTCTGGAGGCTCCGGCCTGAGCACGGCTGTGCTGTGAGCAGAAGGGGGCAGACAGCAGCTGGAGAGGCGTTAGCCCGTCACTCTCAGGGTCCAGACACCTCCACAGTGATGCCACCATTGTTGAGCCCTTGCTGCAAGCTGAGCCACACCCTGGGGATATGGCAGTGAACAAGGCGGAGGGCAGCAGTCCCCAGCCCCTCTGGAGATGCACAGGTCCCCTGGGGCCATAAACTGTGAGCTTGGAGGCTGAGTTCTTAGGTGGGAACTGGGTTAATGAGCAGAGCTTTTCCAGCGGGCTGTGGTAGAAGCCAAAGTCTTAAATCCCAGCCCAGCATGTTCCTCATTGTACCCTGGTTTTTCCCAGAAAAACCCCCTCCCACACCTAGTGGCCTTTCTGGACCTGACCACCAAGGGTACCCCTAGCAGAGGTCATAAGAATCCCACAGACAAAGCCAGGGAAACAAATGGTAGAATTCCGTGTGAAAATTCAAGCCTGAGAAGACTTGGAATCAAACAGCCCATTTCTCAGTGTGGCAAAGTTGGAGAGAGAAGAGACCCGGCTAACAGACCTCCTGAAGGGTTGTGTCTGATCCAGCAGTGTTCCCTAGGGTGCTCTCCAGTGTCTGATCCAGCAGCATTCATTTAGGGTGCTTTTCGGTCCTGTCTCTAATATGGCAGCATCCACCTAGGGTGCTTCTGCAGCGCTGTGTCTAACTCAGCAGCACTCACTGAGGGCTCTTGACAGTGGCATCTTGGCCATGGTTCCTATCAATACTTTAAATGCACTGTGCTGGGATATACCAAGAAACTGAAGAAACACTTCCAGGCCAAATAAAGCACCTTGCAGGAATTTCCATGGGTGAAGAATGCAGGGCTGTGGTTGTCCACATCTGGACTCACAGCGCTGGTTTGTGGAGAGGGCTGCAGCATTGCGGCCAGATTCGGGGAAAGTGATGCAGACCACACAGTACTCACACATGGGCAGGCATGTAAAGAGAGCAGGAGTCTGTGGTTTGACATGCATACCACAAGGGCAAGGGGAGGCAACGCAGAGCTGGGAAGGAGTCTTGCTCAGCTTCCAGTTGGCTTTCGGCTACATTCCAAACTCAAGCAATCTGTACTTCCTAGGTCCTCTTGCTGACTCAACCTCAGCCACAGAAAGCACCGACCGGAGGCTGGTAGTATTCACGCCCCCTTCGCACCCTCGGCAACCCCAGCTCCTGGAGGCAGCTGGGGTCCCTGTGAGTGTGGTTTCCTCTCACTCAGAGGTTAGCACATCCCTGCGGTTGCCAGTCTCCAGGCAGCCTCATCATGGCCTCCTCTTCTCCATCATCTACTTAACACACACAGGCTCCCCCGCAGCGGACTCTTGTTTCTCAGACCGAGAGGAGTTCTGTGATGCTGGAGACCCCAGCGCAGTGGGCAGCGGGGTGTACTAAGTCTCTAAGACTGAGCACTTGCTCACAGCTATCCCTGCTACTCTTCCTGTTTGCCTGTATGCCCATGGAATCCAAGGTGGGAAACCCTCCTGGCCTCGCCTGTTTTACTATCGACTACACCTAGAAACCCAGGCACCTTACTGTGTTGGCCTGCTGCCTCCTCCCTGCAGGTTGCCATGCAGGGAGCCAGAGGCAGAGAGCACTGGGATCCCAGGGTCCTCATTCTGATCCCCTGAAAACAATACAAACCACAGATTCTTTCTACATGCTCTAACGTGGTATGAAAACAAGGTAAAAACCTACGACAGTTTAGAATGTGCACAGTTAATTCTTCCCATACTGGCCCCTAGCCTGCCCGGCCCTGTACATTCTAACATCGCCAATGCCCAAACTTGGGGATATTCGGTTCAAACCAATGATAAAACTTTTTGTGAAAATGAGATAAATAACTTTCGGGAGCTGGAGAAACGGCTCAGCCGTTAGAAGCGCTGGTGGCTCTTCCAGAAAACCTGGGCTTCATTCCTAGCACCCATGGGATGGCATGCAACCATCTTCAACTCCAGTCCCAGAGGATCTGCTGCCTTCTTCTGATCTCTGCAGGCAACTGCACACAAGCATGAACTCAGACCCTCATGCACATAAAATAAAATTTTTTTTTAAGATCAACTTTTAAATTCTTTAGAATCACAGTATTTTGGATTTTGATAATTTTTATAAAACCTTCACAGGACAGGGTACCCTGCCCTCTCTTAGTACTGGGGGGGGGGGTGGGGGTGGGGGGGGAGCGGGAGGGAAATGAAAGGAGGGGAGGAAGTGGAAATTTTGAATGGTATTATTTATAAAGCAATAAAAAAAAGAAAAATCTATAATCTTCAGTATATGAGCCGGTTGCCTTTTACAGACTTTGTAAAATTGTCCACATTCTGTTTCACCAATGCCACCCATGGTATCTTAGAAATCACAGGGATTTGTTACCTTGTCCCAGAAAGCAGTAAAATCTTGCACATGGACGATGGCTTTGCCGTCACATGGTTCCTGGGCTTTGCGCTGTGGAAGTTCATCAAGCAACAGAAAGTTCTGGAGAAAAGGAAAAACATGAACTATCTTAACCACAGGAATAAAAGCATAATGCAAACGTAAAACTTCTTACAGTCTAAAGTGTGGCCGGGAGCTGCCTCAGCAGGTGAGAGTGTCTGACACGAAGCCTGCCACTCTGAATTCAATCCTAAGACCTCAGGGTAAAAGGAGAGACTTCCACAAGCTGTCCTCTGACCTGCACACGCGTGCCTTGACATGTGACCCTCACACATAATAAATATGTAATAAAATACCTTAAAAATAGTGTCAAGTCATATCAGAACATGCTACACCTTAACAGATTATATATGACGAGACCACCTGGCTGGTGCTATGCACACAACCTGGCTCTGAAGTCTCGGGGAAGGAAGTGCAGCAAAAGCAGAATCACAACAGATTAGCACAGGTGTGAAGCCACAGCCGGGAGAAGCTCTGCATCATCCACTTCCAACGATGCTACGTTCAAAATACGTCCCCAAATATTTTGTTTAAAAAGGAAAGAAAACTGCAAATGAATGGCAGAGGCCACTCAACTATGCCCTGGACTGAGTCCCTGCCTAGCTGTCTGGTGAGGCTGGAACAGCAATTCTCAACCCATGGGTCACGACCCCTTCTGGAATCCAATGACCCTTGCATAGGGGACACCTAAGTGACCCTATACTTGATCTGTATATCAAATGATTTACATTACAATTCATAACAGTGGCAAAATTACAGCCATGAAGTAGCAACAAAATACTCATATGGTTGGGATCGCCACAACATGAGGAAATGTATTAAGGGGTGGCAGCTTTAGGAAGGTCGAGACCCACTGGTCTAGAAGATGAAATTTATGTGGTTTTCCACGATTCCCTTGTTCCTAGAGCCACCAATCAAGAGCCCTGTGCTGTTGCTATTTCTACTGTGCCCATCTGGGTTTCAGCACACTGCACCTACAAATAGGGCACCATACATCATTCTGGACTCGCTAACAGTTGGATGCTCACAGGACTAAAGTCCGCCCGAGACAAAGCAGCACCATGGAAATCATCATTAGAACTCTGCACAAACCTTGATCCTCCGAATGCTGATTACTGATTCAGACACTTTCTCAATGGCCGAGGGGAAGAAGAGGGTGACGGTCAGCCGAACGGCACTATACAGACTCATGGTCACAAACACGTGGCTGGCTTTGATCTCATGGCCAAGCAAGACATAGGTAGTGAAGGTCACAAACAGAATGATTTTGTTCGCAATGAAAAATGACGCCATGTTCATCCCTCTGAGGTAGGAGCTGCCCAAAATCTTGGAAATTTCCTTCCTAGAAAAGAGAAATAAGTAAATTTTCACATAGAAACACCAATATTGATGTTACATGCATGAGGCCCCTTGTTGGGCAGTACACACACGTTAAGATATACTGTGGGGGCAGGAGAGATGGCTCAGTCTGCAAAGAGCTTCCGTGCAAGCATGAGAACCTGAGTGTGACCATAGCATCCACATAAGAAGTCAGGTGTGGCTGGATATACATGACTCTATATTGCTCCATGCTCCGTGAAGGTCTGGGCCAGCTATTTCTGCCTAAGGATGAATCTACCGTTTCACGGGAGCTATTCTCTCCTCCAGAGAGTTGCTGAGCTCAGAGGGGACAGGTTCTTTCTCACTCCTTCTTCTGTCACCTGTAAGGCCCAGGACTAACTCCAGGTACGTTAGTAGGACCGACCCGAAAGTTATCCTGCACCTCCAGCACTGGGGAGACAGAGTCAGGTCCCTGAGGCTCACTGGCTACTGGTCAACTGAGTCACTGGACCTCAGGTCCCAGCGAGAAACCCTATTTCATAAAACAAGATTGCAGGCTTCTGAGAAACAGTACCTGAGGAGAACCTCTGGCCTGCCCGTGCATGTAAACACATGTGCACACATACCTACACACGTGTAAACATGCACACGGGTAATAAATAATTTTTAAATGTCCTGTGACATTACAGAAACAGTGGTGAGCACATACTCCGGGAAAGCTTCATTAAAACCACACGGGACACAAACCACTAACTCATCCAACCAAACACCGCTAGAGGTGCAGGATAACAGTTTGGGTCACTCTGAGTTGATTTTTACCAAAAACTCAAACAGATGCATTCAGCTAGCATACCTAAAGGTTAAGTCCTGGGTCAGAGACCTTGCAGGTGATCTAAGGATGGATGAGACACATGAGCTCATCTTTCCTCTCCATGAGCTCAGGAGAACTGCACCCCTAAAACTAGAGACAGAAATAGCTGGTGTGGAGCTTCTTGGGGCACAGAGAAGAGTGCTAGAGTGTGGCGCCCTTGGCAGAAGACATCTCTACCTAGGAGGGTATTTCAGGTGTCCAGGGGTACCAGAGTATGCAAAAAATAAACAAATGTTTGAAATGAACAAAATGAATGATATTTTCCATAACAGTCACTGGAAGGAATAACAACCATTGACTGTGGGAGAACGCTCTTGTACACTGTAAAGATCTGTCACTCATATTAGTTTAATAAAACGTTGATTGGCCAGTAGCCAGACAGGAAGTATATAGGTGGAGCCACCAGACTAAGAGAATTCTGGGAAGAGGAAAGGCAGAGACGCAGACACCAGCCAGATGCAGAGAAAGCAAGGTGAGAATACCTCCCTGAGAAAAGGTACCAAGTCACGTGGCTGAAAATAGACAAGAATTATGGGTTAATTTAAGTTGTAAGAGCTAGTTAGTAATAAGCCTGAGCTAACGGTCCAAACTGTTTATAATTAATATAAGCCTCCGTGTATTTCACTGAGAGTGAACGGCTGTGGGACTAGGCAGGACAGAAATTTCTATCTACACCTGTTCTTCAAGTCTGGCTCGATACAGGGATGCTTGGTCTCCATCACCCTCCCAGCATGGACATCAGTAGAGCTTTATTTTAAATGTGATTTTCTAAAATTCTTGCATCTTGAAATCAATATATATGTATAGAAAATTTAAAGCACTCAAAAATATTTGAACTTCCATTTTATCATTAGCATGAAGCACATAAGACATGCATTTGAAGGCTGGGCATGTAGCTTAGTGGTATATGCTACAGTGTTTGCCTAGAACATGCAAACTCCTGGGTTCAATTCCCAGCACCATCAAAACTAAACAAGAGTGAGAAAGACTGAGACAGACAGACAGACAGACAGACAGACAGACAGACAGACACAGGGAGAGAATAAGAAATGTGGCTGGTGCCCGAAAACAATGGTACCTGGAAGCCCAAGATAAAATGACATCCAAGAACGTTACATACTTAACATTGCTGCCACATGCAAGATGACACATATCATATCTGAGTTATCAAGGGGACAAAATTCATGCGGTAAAATTAGGAAATGGAAAGTGCAAAATACGGACTTACTTCCTCAGTTTGGTGATCAGGTCGGCAAACGACGTCTCCCAGGCATACATCTTTATTATCCTCATGCCTGTGATGACTTCATTCATGGTCCTAATCCTGGCATCCGTGAAAGCTGCGGTCTTACTCCTGAGGGGGACAGATGTGACAGATGAGCCACAGCGAAGGCCGCCCACCTGTGTGTATCCATCATAGGCACAGACAGGGACCCAGGGCCAAAGGTTTCCTATAACACAGGTGGATCCTAATCACCGCACAAACAGAAGGCCTCATGAGAGATCAGCCATTTCGGCCAACTATGTGTGTCAGTGTTTACTGAGGAAAACCCAAACACGAGTCCTGATGCAACCACCATTCAGTTCCCTGAGGGGCACCCAGAGTGGGAGGTGAGGACGACAAACACGGACACAGTTGACAGAAGTGGAACAAGACAGGAACGAAAGCTGCGGGGCAGAGGACACAGACCCTTGTTCATCCCACCAGGAGAGGAGTGGGCAATAGAGGCTCACAGTGCAGGAGCAAAGAACTGGGTTTCTGGGGACCAGGAGGGTTTCCCTCATCGCGAAGGAGAGGACAGTCAATGGAGAAGAGAGCCCGAAGCCATCAAACAACACAGCACACCCACCCCGCCCCATCCCAAATCCGAACACCTTAATGGAGACTTGCTTTGATTCTCGGTGCCTGCTTCAGGTCAAGGTCACTCTATCATCTCTTAGGCTTTTGTTAGCAGCCGTGTTTCTGACACACACGCTCTGGGACAGGGAGGCTTTGGAAGGGCTCTACTGAGACTGACCCCGTCCTATGAGCTTGTGATTCAGTGGAAATACTGAGGTAAAAATAATTAAGTACATGCTCATATGTGAGAGCAGCCCCGTAACATCTGGATTGGGACAGTGAGTCGGCTCAGCTGGTAAGATCCCTTGCTGCCAAGCATGATGGTCTGAGTTCTAACCCCGGGATTGACATGGCAGAAGAAGAGAAAGATTTCTTGAAATTGTCCTCGGACCGTCACACATGCATTATGGCACATGTGTACCCTCCTCGTAGACACATGACAGACAGACAGACAGATACATACATACATAGATGGATGATGGATGGATGGACAGATAGATGATAGCAAGGAAGGAAGGAAGGAAGGAAGGAAGGAAGGAAGGAAGGAAGGAAGGAAGGAAATAAGTAAGTAGATGATAGATAGATAGATAGATAGATAGATAGATAGATAGATAGATAGATAGATAGATAGATAGATGATAGAAAGATAGTAGAAAGAAAGATGATTGATAATAGAAAGATAGACACAGGCAGACAGACAGACAGACAGACAGACAGAAGTAACAAGATATACAAAAATAAGATACTTGAGTTTACTATTGCTGAGTGTTTAACTAACATCACACATGTAACTTAGAGTGAGGATACTCTTTAAGTGGCTACCCTGAAAAGCCCATTGGGAGCAGCCAGCCTGGGCCTTCACCTCTCCCTTTCAAGACCAGCCTTCAGGTCGTGGCTAAAGTCCTCCCAGAAGGAGTCTGCCTATGCAGAGTAGGCAAGCTAAGCAGTGTTTATCTTGTTATCTGGGCAGCAGTCTCAGACAGGTGCATGTCCAAACATTTTCAGTCTGGCATTCCTCTTACCGCAGCGACGAGAACAGCTTCCCGATACAGCTTTGCAGAGGCAGAAGAATAACCAGAACAGCCATGCCAGCCAGGCAGGAGATGCCAATTTCCATCCAGAGAAGGACGGTTACGGCAATGGCCTGCAGTGGACCCGCCCACAGAAAGTGCAGGAAGATTGTTACCTGCGGACACAAAGCCAACATGTTCTTAGAACTGCCAATCAAACAAAACTGCCAATAAAACATGTCAAAAACTTTGTACTCAAAATAAAAAAAAAAAAAAAAAAGTGGTCCCAGTGGTTTTAAAGCTGCTGAGGCCAAACTGCAAGTGTCCTCTGCAGAAGAGGCAGCTCTAGTAGACCGTGGGCCCTGATGTATATAGGGGGCCTTGAACTGCACCATCCCAGAAAGGACCCCAGTGTTTTTCTCCCTCGTGTATGAGAGCAGCATTCCCCAGAAACCTGTCTGCCACATAACTGAACCCCATCTCCCCCGGATCTCCCCAACACCCCAGAAAAGCCTGCACTATGGTGCCCACCACATGCTGCGGCCACTGCTTGTGTGTGGAAACCCTGAACGGGAGGACCAAGTTCCTAAGGCAATGGTGGCACACACGCTTATCTTGCTTATCCCCAACTCTAAGTGAAGTCTGTGAAAATCTGAAAAGGGGATGACTACAGTACAGATCAGAGGAGAATGTTCTAGACCTTGTGACCAATAGATGAGTAGGTATAGAAAAATGGGCGTGGGGTGAGAGAGCTGCAGTTTCTAGTTAGGGATCCCCTATGTGGCATGACGTAGCTTAAGTGTTCCTACGTGTCAGGTGCCCCGTGGAGAGGGTGGCACTGGACACTTCAACCCTCCACAAACTGGACCTGTAGAAAAGGAGAAAGACAATTGGCAGGCTGCTCTATGGCCATGTGGGTAAGGAGGGGTACAGCATGGACAGTAGCTCAGGACTATTAGTGCATTACAGGGGTGCAGCGGGCAACATCACAGAAACAAAACTGGACTCTGCAGCGTGAATTCTAATGGGTGTTAATAAAAACCCAGAGTCAGGTATTGGAAAGCTAAAAAAAATCAGAGAAGCAGAGCAGCCAGCCCCTCATTGTTAGCTCTACCACATCCTCTGACAGAAGGGGGCAAGATCCTGTCTCTACAAGCCCTCAGACTGATTGACTTTTCTGTGATACCGTAGAATAAATCCTGAGCTCCTGTCTCCTCCCGCCTTATATTCCTCTCTCTGTCCAGCCATATTACTCCCTATCTCTACCTCCCTAGTGCTGGGATTAAAAGTATGTGACTCCCAAGTATTGGGATTGATGTGGGAGTGATTTCTTATTAATAAAGAAACTGCCTAGGCCCATTTGATAGGCCAACCCTTAGGTAGGCGGAGTAAACAGAACAGAATGCTGGGAGAAAGAAGCTGAGTCGAGGGGTCGCCATGATTCTCCCACTCCAGGCAGACGCAGGTTAAGATCTTTCCTGGTAAGCCAGCTCGTGGGCTACACAGATTATTAGAAATGGGTTAGATTAATATGTAAGAGCTAGCCAATAAGAGGCTACAGGTAACGGGCCAGGCAGTGTTTAAAAGAATACAGTTTCCGTGTAATTATTTCGGGCATAAGCTAGCCATGCTGGCGGCCAGGTGCCGGGGACGCAGCCCCGCTGCTCCTATCACTATATTGGGATTAAAGGTGTGAGCCACCACCACTTGGCTCTGTTTCTCTTTTAGATTGGGTCAATCTAGTGTAGCCCAGGGTGGCCTTGAACTCACTGAAGCCGTAGGTCTCTGCCTCTTGAGTACTGGGATTAAAGGTGTGAGCCACCATTGCCTGGCCTCTATGGCTAACTAGCATGGCTAACTCTGCACCCTGATCTTCAGGCAAGCTTTATTTGTTAAAGCACAAACAATATATCGCCACAGGACTCTACAATATAAACACATCTTACTACATCTATGCTGCACACAGATGTGAGGTATAGCGTCAAAGTGCCTGTGCTACATACTCTACAGAATCATAGTCTACACCAAAACCCTCACATTCCAGCAGGTTAAAGAGGGAAGAAATTAGGGTAGGAACTAACAGTGATGGAACCTACTTGGTCAAATTTGTTGACATCGTTGGACAGCAGGTTGACTATTTGGCCCGTGGTTGTCTTCCCCATGGCCGCATTACTTAAACGAAGTGCCTGGAATAAACGAGCAAAGTGAAGAGTTGCATCCCATAAAGATACTCTATCCAGCACAGAAAACAGAAAAATGTATGTTCACGGGGTCTCATGTGATGCTACTTGGAAATATTTTCAGACCTGCACTTACTTTCACATGTACCAATCCCAAATGCTGAAAATATACAGAATATTTTAAGAGAGTGGGATTTTAATACCTAATTTCATTTTATTTTAGTTTGTTATTTCAAGACAGGGATTTTCTACTTACCACTGGCTGTCCTGGAACTCACTATGTAAGCCAGGCTGACCTTGAACTCAGAGATCCACCTGCCTCTGCACTCCAAGTGCTGGGATTAAAGGCATTTGAAGCACAGACAGTGCCAATATCCGATTCTAATAGTTCAAGTAAGAAGACAACCAGGCCTGGGCCCCAATGCCTGCAATCCCAGTGATCAGGAAGAAAGAGCTGGAAGGCTGAGTCAGAAACCAAACTGAGCTAGAAAGTCAGAGCTTCATGTACACACACACACACACACAGCCTGAATCAATGAATGAATAAACAATGAAATGAGAAAACACATACTATACTCTAACCCTAAATTGCTCATAAAATAAGTCAGAACAACTGCATGCAGCTTGACTGACCATTCACAGACCCCCGTGAGCAGAGAGCAACAGTCTGACACACGCGGCAATCTGTGTGAAAAACAAGACCCACGAGTGTGCAGGGCTCCTTTGCGCCCACCACATCTGTAGCTCAGGGAATGAAGACCCAAGCTGTGGACGTTTGAACATGTGGGCTCTATCAGAAGTTACCAGAAGTTAACCGTACTATGCAATCAATCCTAAAATTAGTGTTTTGTTCTTAAAACTTTGTCATACTACAGTTGGATCAGAAAAAAATATATAATCAGTGAGGAAGGAGGTTCACAAACACGACTGACAGACTTCTGGCCTCCGTCATGAAAGAGTAATTACTTGGTGCCAGTCTGTTGGCCTTGCCCTCCACTGTACAGCCACCAGGCTGGACAGCACAGGAAGCAGCTGTCCCCAGGCTCTGATCGCAGGCCCTGCAGGACTGTGAGCCCTGAGGGAAGGAAACTCAGGAGTGGCTCAGGACTCACCTGGATTTCGGCCCAAGAGGAGCACGTTTCCCCCACCCAAGGCAAGAAGATGCCCACTGAGAGGGAGAAACGCCTGGAATTTGTGGGTCACAGCCACAGAGCAAAGGCCCAGAGTTTTCTGCGGGGAGTTGGCAAAGGCACTGTGCAAAAGCCTTGCCTGTCCAGGGGCAGGGCTGAGTGCCAGATTAGAGTCTGAGGTCAGCATGGCTCGGAAACGCCAGGGTCCTGCCCAGACGGAGCATAGGCTTCTTCCTGACCGCCTCAGTCATTCAATAGCGATGCCAGGAAGGCCGTGCATTGGTGATAAAAATCTGTCTAGAGAGTCAGCCAGGTCCTTGGACTGAGTTCAGAATGGAAATAGCTGCCCTACAGCTGAGATACACAGAGACAGAAAAAACCATGCTGGTAGGACCAGCCTCAGAAACAGAAACCAACACCAGGAAATCCAGACCACGTCACTCTCGCCTCAATATGGTAGAGCGATTGTTACACAGGCAAAGAAACAACAACAACAAAACAGTGACCCATAATCATAGGGTATCAATACAAAGAGACACATATCCAACTTGTGGAATTAGCAAAGAAATACAGAACAATAAATAAATAAATAATTGTGGGAGAGAAATGGACACCATCAAAAAGAAACGAGCAGAATTCTAGACTTGAAAATGTACAACATCTGAAATGTTTTTTTTAAAAAAAATTACTAACTAACATTAACAGCAGATCATTTCGACTGGCCCGTTTCCAGAGTAACTGATGTTGCGGGGGAGGCTACCCACTGGAGCTCCAACCTAGAGCCTCACATGTTAGGCAAGCTCTCTATGGTTGACTTGCGTTCCTAAACCTCCATTTTATTTGCTCTTTTGAGATAAGATCTCACTGAGTTGCCCCATCTGGCCTTGAACGTGAGACAGCTGCTTTAGCCTCCCACGAATCTGGAATGACAAGACTTATTTCTGTGGTTTACCATGGGAAGATCAAACAAGGACCTGGGAGAGGAGGCAAGCGTGAAAGATAAGAACAAGCTCTCTGCAGGAGATTGCCATGTGGTCTAAGTTGGAGTCCTGAAGAACAGGTTAAAAGAAAAAAAAAAGAGCTTCTGTCTGCAGGAATAGGAACAGGGAGGCGCTGAGCCTTGGCTCAATGATACAACACCTTTCTGTCGTGTTCAGGGCTTGGATTAGATCTCAGCACTGGGAAGGGAGGGAGGGAGGGAGGGAGGGAGGGAGGGANGGAGGGAGGGAGGGAGGGAGGGAGGGAGGGAGGAAGGAAAAGAAAGACTAGAATTCCCAATTTGCTCTGCATACCCAGGAACCTCAGTGACCATCAAGGATCAAAGCAGAAAGACCATGTTTGGACGCTTGATGGCCATCCTTACGAGAAGCAGGACATGGGCCCAGGAGACAGCTCAGTGGGCAGGGGCTCTCCCTCCATCACGAGCACCCACGTGAGAGAAGGGAAGAACTTCAGCTGTCCTCTGACCTCACACACACGCGTGACTGATGGCACTCGCTGCTTGAAGTAACACGGAGACTTGTTAATTATGAAAGCTCCTAACTTGTTCCTACAACTTAAATTAACTCCTATTTTTTAATCTATGCTCTTCCACAAGGCTCATCACCTCATCTCTGTACGGCCCATCCTGCTTCCTCCACGGCTGGCTGGAGATTCCACCTTTCTTCCCAGAGTTCGCTCTCTGCCAGAGGTCCCGCCTATACCTCCTGCCTAGCTATTGGCCACTGAGCTTTTTATTACACCACCATCACAGCAATACATTTTCACACAGTCTTACAGAGGACTAAGGTTCTGTTCCTGGGCTAACTCATAACCACCATCAATGCTAGCTCTAGGGGATGCAATGCCCTCTTTAGGCCTCCGAAGGTGCTTACATGTATGAGGTCCCATAGAGACAAGTAGGCACACAGCTATCCATATAAATAAAAATAATTTTTTTTAAAATTAAAAAGCAACAGTATCTAGTTCCAGGACAGGCTCCAAAACCACAGAGAAACCCTGTCTCGAAAAACCAAAAAAAAAAAAAAAAAAAAAAAAATCAACAGTATCTCCCATTCATTTGATAAACTATTTTTCTTATCTGGATTATTTTCATCAGTAAATAGGAAACATAAAACCCGAAGATGCACATGTAACTACCACCATGAATCAGTTTGGGCAGGACAGAAACCCCCGTCCTCACCTCCATGGACGTGACTAGAGGGAGGAACATGATTTCACCTTAGCAATCTGTGAGGACGAGTCTTGACTGACAGAATTATTTATGGAAACAGACAACCAGCTTGTTGTCTGTGCTAGATTGTCTACTTTAGGGCAACAGATGTGGAACACCCTCCACATGAGTGGCACCGTCCCATGGTCTGTGTTCCTGACTGCAGAAAAAGGAGAGAACTGACTGAGCTGGGACCCATCTCTCTGTCCCCTGAGTGCCAGTGTACGTGACCATAAGCCTCATGTTCCATCATGATGGACCCCATGAGCAGAAGAGAACCTCCCTTCCACAATCTCAGCGTGTCTTCCCATCACGATGGACTCTGTGAGCAGAAGAGAACCTCCCTTCCACAATCTCAGCGTGTCTTCCCATCACGATGGACTCTGAGCAGAAGAGAACCTCCCTTCCCTGCACCTCAGCGTGTCTTCCCATCATGATGGACTGCGTGAGCTGCTCCCTTCCTACGCTGCTCTAGTTGGGCACTTGCTGCAGGACAAGGCACGTAACTGATAGAGAATCCAACCATCATCTCAACAGAAACCTCCGCAAAACTCCGCACTATTACTCCTGCAGGATCAGGGGTGTGAACTACTGGCCACGCTGCAGATTGGCTGCCAGTGTCAACAGCCCCCGTGTGAGGTTACTCCCAAAGTGCCTGACGCCCATGTGTGTGGATTCTCTCTTGTCCCTTGTTATCAGGTTGGCAGCTGCCCTACAGACTGACATCACACTATTCTCCCATTACTTAGTATTCCTTTGAGACAACAGGTCAAGGCAGAGTGGAATAACTCGGTGTAAACACCTTAGAGTTCATGACCCTACCCTAGGTCGTCAGATAAAGTGGCGTCCAGGTAAGTGAGGCACTACTGCAACAGGTGGGTATGAACTATGGTGAGCGTGCTCACCTCACTGAAGCAGACCGCCAACTGCATCCTTCCAACATCATTGGCTAGAGATGCTGAGCGATGTGGTACAGCTCTTCATGGTTGCACCATCTAACAAAGGTTGTGTTGCTTTTCAAAGGGAGGATCCAGGAACTAGCCAGTATCCTCCTGCAAAACGAACACAGTGGCTGCCCAAGGTCAGCCTTGCTCCCTCACGCTCTATAGAGGGAAATTGATTCAAGGAAATGAGAAAGTACAAACAAAACCAACAGCTTGTCACTCTCTGTGATAGTCTGGCTGCCTTGGGGGTTTCCTTCTATTTTGTTTATTTTTAGATAAAAAGAAAACCTGCCCAGGCTACCAAACCTATCCTTGAAGGGTGTGATAGTCATCCACCCAATGAACCAACAGCTTCCCCTCCACTCCCCTTCTACCGACTTGCCCAGAGTTGACTAGGCAGGTCTGTCTGGCCCTGTACATTGAGGAGGACCCTGAGATCACGCTAAGAGTCAGGCACACACAAGAACCCAAGATAGACAAATTCATCAAAGCCCCCACATGCCCTCACCTCACCCCCTTGCAGGAAAGAAATTAGGCTTGCTCAAAGTCCAGAGTCGCTGAGGTTGATCTCTCTAAAGCCTTGGAAGGCCTAGTGTTTCTGTAGCTGGGGTCAGAGCATGGCCAACCAAGGTCAACAACCACAGGATGGATGGTAAAGACAACAGACGCAAACACCAAACACCGCATCTCAGGGGTCCTCAGGGTTCCTTGGTACTTGGG